ACGATCGCAACACAAAGAACACACATTAATGTCCAGTAGAGCACACGTCGCTTCTGGATGCTCAGCATTGTTGTCACCACTATTGCTGGTTCTGCCACGGCTATCGCAGCTGTCGTGCTTCACTACACCGAGCGAGGCGACGATAAGTGGGGCTGCACTTCCGAAAGACTCATGATGAGTGGTCAAATGAACACCAACGTGTACTGTACGCGCGAGATGGCGAGTTGCAACTACCAACCGGGCTTTATCCCGAGGGGAGACCGTGAAAATGCCAGCGTAGCATGTGCTGAGGCGGTCAGTTACAAACAAACACGTTGCGACACGACTCACTAACATCATCGCAGGTTACCGTCAAGTGGTTGCAGATCGTAATGACCGTTAACGCGCTGATCTTGCTGGTGATGTTCTCTCTGCAAGCATTCTTACGAAGAAAGTCACGACAAGCACGATTGAATGAACCAGTACCGGAGGAAAAGATGGAGGAAAGCAGCTAACATCCTATTACCCGTTCGACACTTACGATATGATTACGAGGCTTCATGACACATTCTTTTACTATTCATTCTCACTCAAGCGTTGCATCATTGGAGTTTGGGCTACCGCCTGGGAACATTCTTTTGTAGCGGACAACAGCATCTAGGACGGGACAGGCGGCTACATGACGTCAGCGTCTCGCGCAGTCTGCTGTCAAAACGGCTGTTGAGATATACATACGCTTATACACTGTGGGTTCCGTATATCATAATGTACCCTGATCATACACAGACGCTTTTCCGATTTGGTTTATGCATATCAAAAGTGTACCCTGGAGGTATACGCTGCGCTACAAATGTTTCTGTAAGAGATGGAAAGGCACTGTATACCTTCAGGGTGAACTTGAGTGTGACGTTCAGTGCAAAGGGAGCGGCACTTGTAAGATGCACGTTGACCGGATGAAAGGTCAAGCAAATAGGTGAGGTGAGCGGTGAAGAGGGTGAGGACAGTGTCGCGTCGTGCCTTCCTCTTGGACATGAAGCACGTGGCTGCTTACGTACTCACTGCTCCTTCCCCCAGCAACACCGTTTGTTTGGAGACAGGGCGCGGTTTATGTAGATTTTTGCTTCTGACTTCTCTTCACCACAGCCGAACCTCTCGTCATGGCCCCCCACCCCCTCTTCCCCAAACTCGAGGCGGCCGTCCTCGTGGACGGTCGCCCCGTCAAAGAACATGCTGACCGTGAAGATGCTAATGCCGAGTCCAAGGTAGTCTACATCGAGGCCGAAGCGGGCGAGCAGTTTGGCGTCCGATTCTTCATCCCCGGCTACGTCTTCGACCGCCACTCCATCAAGGTCATTGTCAACATCGACGGTGTTGACATGCGCAAGTTCATCTTCGAGCGGCACAAGTACAGCCTCTACGGCATCACAAGACAGGTCAACGACAGCAGCGCGCTTATCGGCCACAAGTACCTCGGCCAGCGCTTCCGCTTCGCTGATCTCAACACCCGTAAGTCTAGCCAGTGAGCATCGGTGTCATGCCGCTAACAGATCCAGATGATGACAACTACGAGATTGACCACGCGCTTTGGAAGCAGCTGAAATGGACTGGCAACATCTCAATTACCTTTCACCGGGTCACCAACGTACGCTTCGCCCGTGCGTGGAAGGACGTGCCGTCCATGCGAGAGTACGATGAAGTCCCCGAGAAGGCACTGAAAGGCTCGTCCGTCTCGCACAAGACAACGTATGTATAGCATAACCTCCTCCCTGCAAAGCGCTAACAGTTCTGGAAGCCTCGACCCGCTGCACCGCATTGCACCCGTTACATTCATGGACGCAGACTATGTCGACAGCCCTGCCCGCCCTCTTGCTGAGATCGAGTTCCGATACCGGTCCAAGGAAGCTCTCAAGTACCTGTCCATAATCCCCCGCACACCTAGCCCAGAGCCCTTCAAGGAAGATCTGTCGGAGGAGAAGGTGCGGAAGATCTACGTAAGTGTTCTTCATTACATCTTGTCAAGACGCAAGCTTACAGAACACCGCAGCTCAAGCACGAGGAGACTCAGACTCGTAAGCGCGACCACCCCGATGACGACCATGACTACGAAGACGTGGAGATGGTAGAGGAGCGACCCGCGAAGCGACGCTGCTTCCCCACCAGCACCGACGAAGTCATCTCGCTCGACTGAGGACACTTCAAAGGCACATCATGGCATCGGACAGCAGGCAGCGTGCATGAAATGCTGAATACGGAGCGTTGACTGGATACAAGGTTTTCACTGGAATAGTACCGTGAACTACAAGCAGGCTCATCTACCGCCCGGGTTCATGTTCACTAGCATAGCATCGGATACCGAGAGTCTCATCTTGAATTGATTCTCCAATTTACCATCGTCTGTACTCTTCTTGGTGTCCTTATGTGCTCCCATTCTACCGTGTCATCCCTCTATAGTCTCAATGCCTCTTCTCTAACAGCCAGAGCTCAAGGCGCCGTAGCAGTCCCAGTCTCCATATCTACATACGGGACCAGCGTCTCCCTAACATTCGTCAACCGCTCTAGCACATGTCCCACTCTAACCACATCCTCATCTTTCGTCGCTCTCCCAAAGATGTACGCCGAAAATGGTATCCCAGGCGCCACATTAACCAAACCATTCCTCGCGTCCTTCTCCACATGTGTATCTCGCGGAAAAACCCCCATAGGTACACTCATAACCGGACTCCCCGCTTTCGCAGCAAAGCTCTGCATGGCAACACTCAATGTAGGCATAATCATGACATCGCAACACTTCCTACACAACGCAGCGTCGATACCACCTTCACCCTTGTAGTACTCGTCTCTCGCTAGCATGTTCTCGTAGAGCAGATTCTTCGGATCAGAAGTCTGAGCCCTTTCCAGACCCTCGACGTTCCGCTGCGGGTACTGCTCGGCCGGGTGTCCTTTTGTGAACGCGATGAGGTCTTCGAGGTTACGCACGTTATGCGGGTTTGTGGCGAGGGAGGAGAGGTAGTCGTTTATCGCGACCTTCATATCTGTGCTTAGGACGATGTCTTTGGCTTCTTGTGGGAGAGCTTCCCAGCCCTTTGCGCCGGTGACGGTGACGTTGTGGACGATGGTTGCGCCGGCGCTTTCTAACAGTTTGAGCGTTCTTTCGAAGGCTGCCGTTTTACAGGCAGGTAGGTTTTGCATGTCGTTGAGAGAGCTGGGGATACCGATTCGAATGCCATGGAGGTGGGGAATTGAGTTCGCGGCGCTGAGGTCTTGCACAATCTTCTGTTTCGTCTGGCCGGGAAGGTGATCGCTGTGTTGAACCATACCAATGAGGAGGAGCGCAGAATCCGAGACTGTTCGCGTGAGCACACCAACGGTATCCAGTCTCTTAGACGCATGTATAAGCCCTTCAGAGGATAGCAGACCACGCGTCGGCTTGAACCCCACAATCCCAGATTTCTCCGCCGGAGAAACAATCGAGTAGCACGTCTCCGTCCCCAGCGCCGCAAAACACATACCCAGGGCAACAGCCACCGCACAACCCCCCGAACTCCCACTCGCTTTCATACCAGGATAGTAGATCCCCGTTGTCTGGCCTCCTCTTCCACTCCAGCCAGAGCACCCGCTCGTGGAGCGGAATCCAGCCCATTCGGCCATGTTTCCTTTGCCCAAGATTACCATGCCTGCTTTTCGCACTGCGCTTACGACGTCGGCTTCGTGAGATGGTTTGGCGCCTACTAAGGCCATGCTGCCGCATGTTGTGGATGTGGCGTCGAGAGTGGGTATGTTGTCTTTTAGCAGGATGGGTATGCCGTGGAGGGGGCCGAGGGGGCCTTTGGAGAGGCGCTCGGCATCGAGGTGTTGGGCGGTGGATGTAGCGTCGGGGTTTACCTCTGCTACGGCGTGGAATGTGGGGTTTGTTTCGCGGATTCTAGTTAGACAGGCTGACGTTAGGTCGACGGCTGTGAAGAGGCGTTTTTGGTAGCTGGTTTGGATTGTGGGGAGCGTGAGGTGGTCTAGACGTGGGATATTGGGTTGGGTGTTGGTGGGTGTGCTGGCAGACCTGCTGGCCGGTTCGTTAATGTATGGGGTCACCATTTTGGGGTTATTCTTAACCTGGTTCTATACAAGGTGTTTCAGTATTGCGGACGTGGTGGGAACGTTATGTATTCAGGTCATTCGCTGTGCGCTCTACTACAGTCTTACTGGCCCGAAAGGTCTGCTTGGGACTTCTTTGTCGGATATATACTGTGTAATGCTACAGCGCTCTTCAATCTCGGTGGACATTAACACCAGTCATTCACCATCAGAACCAGTCTGAGTGACTGACAAAGAAGAGTCAATATCGACATATTCGTGCGTGAAGTTGAGGCTATGACATGATTTAGATTCTTGAATGACCCTTACATAACTGACATATCGACCGTCGATATATTTTTCACAGCTCTTAGTCCAACACAATGACTTCGGTATCATCGCTTGGCATCTGTCTGACGCGTTCAAGCTTCCTCTTCTTGCGCAGATCAACCGAACGTATCTCGATGAAGTCGTCGTCGCAAGCTATCACTCGACTATCGACGTTGTGGTCGTCGCCTGCCACGGTGGAGGTATCGGAAAGCTCGCGCTTCATGCGTACACGGGTCTCTTCTTGATCCTAGTTGATGTCAGCATGTAAATTGGTAGGGTGGATTATGGGGATCATCCTACCCTGAAGCGGCGGACGATAGACTCTAGTTGTTCCCTGTTCAGCTGTCCGAGCACCATATCATCGCTGTCGAGAACGTCGACTGGATCAGGCGTACGTTCAATGATGTGAAGGTCTTTGAGCGCAGCTATAACGTCAATAGTTAGTGTTTGCCTACTGTTGACCTATATCTGGGAAGCTTACCGAGTGAGCGATAGTAGAAGTGGAATGTCGCAAACGGTTCTCCGCCATCAGCATAATCCGCATCGTAGTACTGAATCTCTTCTGTGGGCTCTGTGTCTCCAAGACTGCGACTAAGTTAGCTCGTAGTGGCATCCGTGTGGGGCTATACATACACTGCCTGATGCGACAGCGACTCGCCCTTGATAGCCTTCTCGTTGACCGTATCCAGCTTCTCCAACTCCTTCTGTACGAAGGCGATCTTCGGATTGCGTCTTGCATTGTCAAGGAAGTAGAACTCGCAGGTAATGATACCTATAGGCTGTAGTTTGCTCTGCATGTCTTCTGGGATGCGGCCCTCGCTGTACTCTCCTGCGTTTCTCTTAGCATATTGTCACTTTGTAGGAAGTAAAGATGACTTACTAATGTCAAGCGGCGAGAAGCAATAGTGCTGTGTGAACCAGTCCTTGCCATCGTTCGATATCGGTCCAGAGCTGACGTGACCATTTGCGTCGTACAGCTCGTCCGGGCGAATAAGCGGCTCATCAACATCCTTGCCGTCGATGGTGACGATCATAGACACCGGGCGGTCGATAGGGAAAGGCGCCTTGAAAGAGTAGTGAATTTCGAATGTTAAGTCTGACCTTGCTTCGATGTAGCTTTCGGAGATAGCTTCTGATACGGTGGTGTGGCGGTCGGTGTACTCGCGAAGCGGGCTGCCATCAGCTTGAACATGAACTTCGAGCCCAGGAGCCTCATCGACGACTGCCATTGCGGAAGGTGCGATTGTAGTACGATATGAGAGGTAAGCGATGAGGGCAATAGGAAGCTGCGATAGATCTACGACGCGTAGAGTGTGCTGAAGATATGTTCTTGAAAGAAGGCTTCACCTCGACTAGAGATGTCGGTGCTGGAGTGTGGAGGCCGAGGTGAAGGCGAGTACTGGCAGGTGAGAGACGATAGCCCTAAGATCTATCGCCTTCGACGGGTCACGAAAATCGCGCGCTTAAACGTGAGAGATGAACGTGGCTGTCGCGCTGGTGGCTCCTTCCCTTCGAGTGAACTCAGATTTGGCGTAGATTTCTAGCGCCCCAAACGAACGACGGGAGTAGAGTGAGCAAGCAGGATGAAAAATTACGCGTGAATAGATGCATATGAAATAGAAAATAGTCCGATAATGCTACCAGCATTGTCCCCAACGATGGCGACCAAGCGATGGTTCCCAAGTTTCTACGCCAGAAGCACTCGTATCGCCCCGAAAGTGCTTCATAAACCTGTCCTTCGACTCGAAGGATGAATGCGGTCAATCATCCAGAGCCACAACCTCATCATCAGGACCAGGGATGCGACGTATCCTCTTCACAATCGGATGTGCCGGCTGGCTGCCGATCCACTCGACCTCATCACCAACTAGGGTATCCTCACTGCCTTCTCGCTCTTCTTCGCGTTCGCGCTTGATAGTGATCGCTTTCTGGTTCTTCTCCTGTTTGGTGGTCAGTAAAAAACTCATGAATCGCATGCCTCCAACCTGTGATGCGACTTACACGCATGCTCCTAACCACTGCTCTCAACTCTTCCTCGGTCATATCTTCTGGATCCCTGTCTTCAGCCTCTGATTCTGGCTCCGGAGATGGGCTTGGGGTACGCGGGATGACGCCGATGGACTTTAGCGCATCTGAGTAACTGTCAGCTATCATCACGAATTAACAATGTATGCGTGTGACTGACCGGTAGACCTATAGTAGAAAGTGAACGTTGCGAAAGGCTCGTTCTCAGTCGTCTTGACTTCGTTGTAAGTGATGGTGTCATGCTGCTCGGGTACTGTCAGACTGGCGGCAAGGTCAGCGATCATTCTTCCTCGTGATGCGTGGGAAGAACGTACCTAGTCTGATGAGACAGTTGATCGCCCTGCATCGCAGCCGCCTTGTGTAATGCCTTCTCGCTGAGAACATCAAGCTTGTTACTAGCAAGCTGAGGCACTTCTGCGGGCTTCACTGCCTCCAGATGCTCGATGAAGTAGAAGTAAAGCACAATGCGGCCAATTGGTGACAGGCGATCCGCGAGGTCCTTGGTCATGGGAATGTTGGTCTCATCTAAACTTTGTCAGCGAACGTTATGATAGATGTTGAGACAAAAGAACGTACTGGTCCTCAACTCAGCAAACTGGAAGCTCTGAGTGAAGCTGTGTCCGCTAGTCGACGATGTAGATCGTGAACAAAGATACCCCTCGCACTCTTCCTTTCCACCCCACTCAATGAACGGAGCTTGGACATAGTCGCCGTCTAGCAATACATCCATTTGAACTGCCGAGGGCGGGGTGAAAGGCGGACGAAACAGATAGCGGATGGAGAAGTTGGCAGCTGATGGCGCTTCTATGTACCTGGATGTAGAGGTCGCAACCTCGTCGTCTTCGATGATCCCATGTTGATATTCCGGTAGTGCTGCCGCGTCGACCTCGATAGTGACTTCAAGACCTGGAATACCCGTCGCGATGGCCATTGCGATGGAATGAAGAAAGAAGAGAGCAAGCTGCGAGCGAGAGAGTAGACGATATCGCTAGGGAACAATTAGAGGGACCACCCACAAGGATCGTGCTCACTTGAGGCTCACATTTGCTCAGGTGAGAGAGGTGACCAATCTACAGGCCCACAAAACGACCGAGAAAGACGCTGGGATGAGAAAATTCGAACTAAGCCTTGCTTGTACTCAAGGTGACTACGATAAGACCACTCCGCGATGTTTTGCGCTACAGTCAATCCGGTACGCCTTATTTATACGCCAGCAACTAGAACAGCGCCGCAGAAGGCTAGAGAGCCTTCGAAAAGAACGAAGAGAAAAGCCAAAACTCTGCCAGGACCATGGTATAGGCACCGATCCATCCCTATGTCAGATCGATAATCTCGGCACCATTCTCATCGAGGGTAACGGGGAGCCGTCTGCGCTTGGCGGATAAGAAAGTTACTTCGCCATCGTCGTTATCCTCGTTGATGATGGTGCTGCTTCGTTCCCGCTTGATACCCTCTCGCTTGATGACTGGAGCGGCGTCCCTCTGTTCACGCTGGAGGCGAAGGAGCTCGCGAGATTCTTCCAAGGTAAGGGTGTTGATGTCGCGTTCTTCGAGTGGTACCGGGCTAGGAGTTCGTGGGATGACGAGGAGGGATTTGAGAGCAGCTAAATGGCATCGGCATTAGTAGAAATACGGCGACCACGAAGAGCTCACACACCTCTCGAGCGATACTTGAAAGTGAACTCTGCAAACGGCGCTTCGTCGATCTTCGTGGTTTCAATCGTGCTGTACGCCTGCATGACTTCTCGCGCGCCGTAGCTAATCCCAGTATAAGTATTTGTGAGTATTGGGAAAGACGCTCGCTGACCTAGCCTGATGGGATAGCGCACTGCCTTTGAGGGCTTTCTCTGGCACAACACCCAGATTCTTGTCCTTCCGTACCGTGACCGGGGTTTTGTATGTTGCGCCAGCTGTCGCCCAATAGAAGCGCACAGATATAACACCCACCCTATGGAGCTTCTTCTTCAATGAGTCCTTAAATGTGCGTGAATCACCGTCGTCTGAAGTAAAAGTTAGCAACTAGCTGACTCAAGAAACTGAGAGACGGAACCATTAATTTCGAGCTGCGAGAAGCAGAACTTCCTTAAATAGTATTCGCCATCTTCGAATCCGCGCGATCCCTTGAACGTATACGCATTATCCCAGCGAACTGAACTGCCAGGGTTTAAGACACTACCAGTTGCATATTCCCCGTCGATAACCAGTTCCACAAGAATACTGTGGCGAATACTGAATCCAGGAGAGAAGCAGTATTTGACCTCAAAGTTGTCACCAGACGAGGCTTCGATGTACTTGGTGACCTCGTCATCCGAAGTTTGATCATCGTCGTCGACATACTCTTCAAGCTGAGCGCCCTTGACGAAAACCTCGACTTTGAGATTAGGATGCGCTTTGGTGATCGCCATCTTGAAGACAGCGGCGGGGTGGAGCCGGAAACGAACAAAAAGGGCGGTTGGTGTTAATAGGAAAAGAGATGTCTGGCGGCGTCTATGGCCGCGAGAGACCTGCAGTGGTGAAAGTGAGGATGAGACGTGACAGGCGCAGCGCGCTGAAAGTGGAGGTGCGGCCTCAGGTCCGGGGTCGTGATTACCGCCGTGGATTCGCGCCGCGGCGCTAACGCGCGTTGCCACGTGAAAGTGCCAAACAATGCGCTTAAAGGGAATGAGCATCCCTATATAGCAGTGAGCAACGTCGAAGCACTGCGAAAATCATGTTGAAGTCAGTCAGTATATACACAAAAAGTCTATTCATCTCCATACTCCAGTCCAGTCCAGCTTTCCACCCACCTATATACCATCCATCCATTCCCATCCGCGCTCTCAGTACCGAGCATGGTATCATTCCTCCCTCGCCCAAGTAACAAAGTAAAAAAAAAGAGTGCAATCCGTCGCCGCACAGTAACCCCTAGATCGGGTACATGACTTGTAATAATGACAAAACATTACGCCCCCCAAACAGGCGAGAACAGGAATGCACAAAAGATCAGAGGCTCACGGTCTTCTTTGTGGAGGATGTCGCAACCGGTACGCCAGTGCAATGATGGAACCGCCCTGCCATATGCTGTTGTACGTGAATAAAGACTGAAAGGAAACGCTATGCAGTCGTTATCATGGGAATATGCCTCCATGCAATGGTATCATTCGCGGGTATGGATTAGGCCGTAATTGTTGGGAGATCGCCATGGTAGTAATGCTGTGATGAATGGGGAATGTGGTGGGGCGAAATGGCGATGACGGTCGATTGTCAAAGGGCGTTGCTGTGCCCATCTACCATGCGCCTATGCTTGCAGGGGAGCCAGTTCCGTAGTTTCCGCTCAGCAGCTGCTGGCGGATGGACATGGCATCGTTGGATCCGCCGGCGGCGGGATTGGGTGTCTCAGCGCCCATCCAACCAAGTCCTCCGCGCAACTCGTTGACTGCCTCCTGCATCTTTCCGCCCGAGATCTCATTGTGTTTTGCAATCTTCTCGTCCCATCCGCCGTATTGGAGCTGTATTCCGCCCGCCTTCTTTGCTGCCTCCTGAATGACCATCGCCCACGCCTTGGCCATCTCCTCGTACGCCTCTTGCTTGTGACGGTTGTGTTGGTACGTATCCCAGTTGGGTAGACGATGGATGATCTCGGTGGCGCCGTCGAGGAAGGCGAGCGATGTGGCGGGCTGGTGTTCGTGCGGCGGGAGGAAGTGAGGTGTGAAGTCTTTGAGGGAGTCGAGCAGTTCATCGAGTTGTTGCCGCACCCTATTGTATGCATAGTCTGATGACGCACGGCCGCCAAAGGGGAAGGCTGCCTGGAACGCCGCCTCGTACTTTGACAGGACTTCCAACGTTGACTGTATGCTTGGCCGGGGCGCGGTTGTGACGACTTCGTTGCCGATGTCCGGGTGGCGCTGGCAGATGGACTGCAGCAGGTTGCGCATCTCGTCGGGGCTGAGCGTCTCGAGGAGGCGAGGGAGCGGGAGTGGGCGGCCGGAGATGTTGGTTCGCATGCGCTTCATGCCTCGCGGCGCGGGTCGTGGGAGTACGGCGGAGGATGTGGTGGGCGATGCACTCATGCGGTCGTCGTCGCCGGCGCTGCCATCGTCCTCGGCTTTCCGCTTGCGGCCAGTCATGGCGGCGGAAGGGGCGTAGGCTGCGTGAGGGTGAAAGTTAGTGGCTGACATGGAGTTGAGGTGTTGCGAGCAGCGAGTGGACGTACGGTTGCGGGAGGGAGAGCGGCGGTTGTTGTTCAAGAGATGAGGGGGCGTGAATGTCTGCTGGTACTGCACACTCATGACGAGAAAGGGCCCGCAAACGCAGTGATTTCGCACGCCTGCTTTGTTGGGAGCCGGATAGCGATGTCTGGGTGGTGATGCAATGGGCGGGCTCTCGTTGCGTGGGCCGTGGGCGGTGTCGGGTGTTGTGTTGTTGCTGTGGTGGAGACAGCAGAGCCATACGAAGGCCCAAGAATATGCTAACAACCGGCAAGTCCGTGCACCCAGCCAATCACGTCACATGTCACCGATGTCAACCACGATAATTGCCCTTTCATCTGGGGTTGAGGTTGGGTTCTCTCGCCATTTTTGCTTTTTCTCGAAAATCGCCCCTTCATGCCCCAAGTTCGTGTGGTCCCTCATCACAAAAGAAACAGCAGCGGCTAAGGCGGCACCATCTATATCGCATCACATATCACCATGCATGTCTGGAAAAATGTACGTGGGGGATCCTCAGCCATGGTGCAAGCCCACAACATCAGATCTAGTGAATTTCTATTCAGGCGCATTAACGCTGTGCCCCTTCCTTGATTGAGGTGCACAGCGTCGAAAGCTCCTTGCGTGCGCCTGAGACACTTGCGTGTCCAGTGGCGTTTTCATTCAACCGCATAAAGGAGAACGCCATGTGAGTGCCATACTTACCTGCTGAACGATGATGCTACCGAATACTCCCACCAATACCATAATATACAAGACATGCTTCACGCATTACAAGTACAGGGACTGGGCGGCGACC